TGTTTTCCTCCTCCCTGTTTCCATTCCTCTTCCTTCTCCTGGATCCTGGTCTTAGAGAAGCTCTGACCCCAACAGTCAGCTAGTGAAAAGAAGGCCTTAGCACTACAGAGACTATTATTCTCTCTGCCCAGAATCTCCTTGTGAATTTGATGAGAACTGAAGTCTCACCATAGCAAGGGAGATCGATACCGTGTGGCTCTTCTTCATGTCAGCTGTTTCAGCCAGAGGCCAGATTCAACCATGGCTTCGAGTGAGAAGGACTGTCTGCTGTTCGATTTAAAGTGATCTCTGACTGAACAGAGGTGGGATACATAGTTAAACTGATCCTGATTTTCACAAAGAGTCATTTAGGAGTGTAGCAAAAATTGTATATCCAAAGACATTTCAGATGGCTTATTTGAAATTCGAATCCAAGTGTGACTTTTCCCAGGCTCAGAAAAATCATGCTTGGCGTTTGAGTTAGGTCCAGAATAAAAGGTAGCTTCAATTGTTGGGTTTGGAGGTTGTACTGTATCTGGGCTGATAAGATGTTTGAGGTACAATTCAGCCCTTTTCTCCTTTGCCAGAATATCACTATTTTTATGAGCACTATGAAAACAAAGGGTAAATTATATCAAAATATGGTTTTAGTCAGGAGCAGAAAAACTTACAGTCATTTCAACTCCAAAGATTTGCTCAGTTTTCACTCTCTTAGCTAAATATAGCCTCAATATGTTATTTTAGGCTGATCCACTGTTGCTTTCACTGAAAGCAGATCGATGTTCTTGGAAGACTGATTTTAAGCATTCGACATCGGAAATTTTGACATGCATATGGATGTCAAGACCAGCACTGTGGGCATAAGATTTTGTTCTTGTAGTACTTATTATTCTTTGAAAAATTAATCTTTTTGCACTACTTCAACTATTTATGAGTTTCTTATATACCTTCAATTCTTAGTTAGGTATTGACGATCATAACGTACTGTTGAGTTCTCAGCACAGCTTCCTAGAGCCATCAAAAAAGAGAGAACTGACACAGTGAGACTCTTAAAATGGATTGACAGGCCTGTCTACAGAGAGAATTTAAAGAAAGTTAGGGTAAATTCATTAAAGAACTGAGCACAGTAAATAGTTGAGAAAGTGCTTTAGTACCCCATGACAATTGTCTTACTTAGTACTCATTGGCCTTAAATTGCTCCTCCTCTGAGGATGATTAAGAAAAGGATGTAAGGTTATTTTAATTCTGTTATGTCACACTTCATCCAGTTATCTAAAGAAAATATCAATGCCTACATACCTAATCTTAACTTTTCATGGTGTCTTTGAATAAGCAAGTCAACTCACTCTATACACAGGACTTAGGTGATTTTACCTTTTTAATTCCTAAAATATATGGGGCGGGGGGGGGGTGTGTTTGAACAGCATCTTGGCCAGTCTCCCATTTCTTGATTCTGAAAGCTGTCATTTCAGACCATCACTCAGGTGAGTAGTCCTGCTGCTGTGAGTAGAGTTCTGCAAGCACAAATTTGCTGAAAAAAATGATACCCTGGCTTACAATGAATGGGAGGTTAGAAAGAATAAGGATTTGTTCTAAACATTCTGAAAATTTGGCCATATGCAAAAGTATTGGGTCATAAAGCATTTTTTTTTAATCCTGTAAAGACAGGAATAAATTGTGTGTTCCCCAATAAAAAGCTTAACTGTGCAGGTTGTTCTTACTTACCATGAAGAACTGCTTAATAGAGTGCAAGAAGAACGTCAGCAGGATTGCCAGGGAGGATTGACAACAGAACATCAAGAAAAGTGTTATTAAGCAGTATTAAAATTGTTCCACCTTCCCTTTTGTTACAGATATGGAAACATATAACCACAGAGGTACATCAACACATCTGTAAGTACGTGCACAGACCCACGCATCTCAAAGTGCTATTGCAAGAATTTCTGAGATTTTTGATTCAGTCCATTATTTTCAGGATTTTGAGTGTTCTCATATATATTGCATCTGAGGGCAAAGTAACACTGTGTAAACATGTGAATGTGTAAGCCATATGGCTCTTCTAATCAGGCATTTGGGTTAATCAGAGAAATAATTGTGCATGCATTTGTTTCTCAGATGTCTTATTGCTCTTGACGGATTAAATCTGGATTTGTATGATAAAACGAATGAGGAGAAGGACTTGCATACATCTGTACTAGGAATTAGCTCCCTCAATTCTGTTTTAAAGTGAAAAAGGAACTGACACGAGAATAGTGAGCTGAGCTTACATATAAGTACTTTGATCCAAAGACTGGGAATAGAGAAAAGGAGAGACTTCCTGAAAATATAAAATTGCTTAAAATTAACTCCACCCATTGTGGTAAAGCTCATCTCAGCTGTTCCTTTTATGGTTCTCTAAACTCTTTTCAACTATGGAAAACGTTTTTCTGTAAGAATAAAATATCATCATTTTTAAAATTTGAGTTAGCATAAAAGAGACATTTTGGTTACCCAAACTTTCAGGATACTTCCTTGAAGAAGTAGCTCACCTTGCTTTGAGCACAGATTTACATAAACAGGTTTTCCTGTCTCGCTGGCTTCTAGCTGCATCCATGTATGAAGGTATTTCTTACTCTGCTTGGCCATTACCTTCTGACCTTGCTTTGTGAGAAAGAGCGAGCTGTTGGCCACCCTCAGGAGCCCATCTTCCTCGTGGCAAGTCCATCTGACTGCCTGGGGACAATCAACGATGATGCTGCGAGATGACAGGGCAGAGCGTGTAAAGATGCTCAGGCACTGGGCAGATTCCACATGGAGGAGCTTGTCATCTGCCGTCCACTGCCACTGCTGGTTGAGGTTGGTCATATTGCACTTTTCCATAATGACTCCTCTCTTTTGTGAAAGACATTGCTGTTTCTGGACATGGATAATCAGAAACCCTTCTGGAAGAGGAAAATTCCAGAAAAATACAAAAGATTACATATGTTGTTTAACAAAAAGCAAATTCTTGATGATTTAAAATACATCAGCAAATAAATCTCTCTTCCCACTTTTTGTAAGTTGAACTTCTAATGAACTTTCCATGTGATGAACCTATTTAAAAAAACCCACAACAAACGTACAACCCACATAATGCAAATGCTGCTAATGAAAAGAGTGAGAATGCAAAAAGCAAACTATTATGGCAAAGGTCACCTTGACCTTCATTATATATAAAAATGAAGAAAAAATTAAACTGGATATGAAAGAAATCCAAGAATTATTAACTTTAAATACCAATTCTAAATACCCCACTTCCGCTGCTTGAGAGCATACAGACATCTACACAAGCTCTCAGTCTTTTTTCTGTTTTATGACACAGTCTTTTTACAATATAATTTACTGCCTGGAAATTGTTTTAATACAACTCATAGTGTTTCTGAAGAAAACATATAAGAGGACATTCCCAAATCTGTGTACTTCTCAGTGCCTGTGGCATTACAGGAATGGTGGCTCTTTACTGATAGGAAGTACATCTATTTTACTGGATTTACTCCAACCTCTCTAGCTGTTAGTTTTGTGACCATCATAATTCACGTTAGATTAGCTCTTTGTGCCACCACACCTAAAGATCAACACCAAGCACTCAAACAAAGAGAACTACAATGCATTCATCAAAAAACCCCAGTTACTAACGCAAAATCTGTACTTGTTACAGAACACGGAGCTGGGTATTTCAAATACAGCCGCCCTGCCACATCTTGTTTACGTTTTTCTCTTTTTATAATCTCAGTTACTCAAACATTTCCAGCCTCATTAGTTACAAAGTGCCAAACCCAGCCTGTATATTTATTTCCCTTAGTTGAGGTTTGTCATTCCACTGTTTTTACAGACCTGCGTAATTTCTAACTAAACATCACAGAAAGCTCCTGGCTCTGGAAGTTTCATGAAGTAGGACTAAAAAATAGGAGTCTCCCCTTCGAAGAGCTTGTCCAAAAGCTCAGCTCCTGGATTGTCTAATAGGAGATCTTCTTAAAAAAAAGAAGAGGTATCTCCAGCACAGAAGAAGACAGTTTATTTTCCTTTGGAAAGAAATCTAAACAGAACGGGCTACGTTGGCCCTGCCCCCATTCCTCTAGTATGAACCCAAGCGAAGAAGCGAGTCGGGTTTTGTGAGTCGCCAGCTGCCCCAGAGGGCTCTGCTCGGCAGCAGAAAGAGTCATACAGCAGAGGGGAAGTGGGGAGAGACACTTACCTGAGAATGTCAAGGCAAGACAGGTAGAAACCAGGACGTGAAATAAAGAATCCATTTTCCCTCTAGCAACTCCCCATGCTTCTCTTAAAAAAACCCACCTCAGATAAGTGAAGCGAAGGCTAGGAAGGAAATGTGCCTTCACAGGGGGAAAAAAGTCAGTGACGAGCACTTCCTTCTATTCAATTGTTTTGGGGAGTTTTACACCACTTTGTCCTTTCATATGATTCTTCAGAGTTTACTAGTTGCTTTATTTTGGAAAAATACAAGCAAAAGAAAGAGAGGTTTTCAAACACCTGGGAAACCAGAAGAGATTATTTTGAATCTCTTTAGACTAAAAGAAGAGATTGTACTTTAGTGTAATCCATTGCCTGTGAAATACTACAAGTCTTGCAGGTGATCTGGATGGTGCTAAATAAGTACATAATGTGTTATCCAGGGAACAAATGCACATTTTTGTAATGATATGTAATCAAGCAAAATCTCAATGTTGATACTTTTAACTCCAAAAGTTTCAA